GATGCATTTTTTAATGCGATTTTTCATTTTTTTTCATTTGTTTGCCAGCTTGTTGCTGGGCAGATTAAAAATGCATCAAAAACACAACATGTGTACATTTTTGATGTGCATTCAATGCATTTCAGGCCTGGTTCACACCTGTGCAGTTTGTGTTTTGTCCGTTTTTGCAGTGCGTTATGAGTTTTTGCACACGCGTTTTCTGATGCATTTTTGAATTTGTTTTTTTGGACAACTTGTCGCTGGACAGAATAAAAAACACAACGCATCACAAACGCTTGAAAACACGTAAAAAATGCACTAAGTGCATTTTCTGCAGCATCTTCATTGAAGTCTATTGAACCAAAAATGCAACATTTTGTGTTTCTAATAAAAGTCCCTGACCCTTTCCAAAAATGCAGCAGCACAAAAAAAAAAAAAAGTGTCCAATAGGAAACCATGTTAAAGGGACTGTAGTGTATTTCTGCAAAAAGCCCCAAAAAACGCATTGGTGTGAACCAGGCCTCAATGGGGAGGTACATTTTGTGTGTGTGTTTTTTTTTATTTTCTTTAAGGCGTGAGTGCTAACCACTATGCCACTTTGCTGCCCTTATGTAACTTACTTAACTAAATAACAAACTAACTTAACTAAATTATCTATTTTAAAAGATGGGGAAGTGCATCCTGTGGCAATCAGGATTTTTAACACCGCAAGGGAAGTGCAATGGACCAGTGTGAACACATACATTGAATTTACAGGGATGCATTTTTCTTGAGCTTTTCTTGTGCCTTTGTTTTAAAATGCAAAAGCAGCCTATTGCTCAAGATGCTGAAAATGTATTCATATTCATTTAAATTCACAATATCAATAAGTCAAATGTAATACTATTATATATAAAAAATACATTTTTTAAAATAAATTGTCCATTTCATTTTTCGGTCAAATGAATCCTGTATTTTCGGTTTCCGTCCAAGAATTTTTATTTCGGTGCACCACTAAAAGAAACCCTTACCCTAGGTTCACACCGCAGCGTTTTGCAGAAACGCACTATAGTCCATTTAACATGATTTCCTATGGGACGCGTTCACATCACCGTGTTTTCACCCCATGTGTTTTTTGGAAAGGGTCAGGGATGTTTTTAAATGCAAAGTTGCATTTTTGGTTCTATAGACTTCAATGGAAACGCTGTAAAAAAAAAAAAAAAAAAAAAAAAAAGCATGTAGTGTGTGTTTTTGATGCATTTAAATCTGCCTAGCAAGTGGAAAAAAATTTAAAGAAAGCAAAATGCAGCCAAAACGCACTGCAGAAACAGATCAATCACAATCTGCATAGGTGTGAGCCTAGTCTTACACAGTTTAAGACTGAATCACTTCTTGTCCAACTTCATTGTGTGGCCACATGTTTTCTCAAGCGATCTTCCAATACTGGAGTCACCCTTTAAAGTGATTGTAAAGTTTAATTTTTTTAAAATAAGGAATATGTCTATACTTACCCACTTTGTGCAATAGAATTGCACAGAACATCCACATATTCCTCATATGTGGTCCCCTGCACACAATCCGTGCTTTTCTTGGTGACACCATAGGAAGCTGCTTCTTGTTGAGGCAAACCTGCAGGCTCAATCCTGAGCTATGCTGCCTGCATCTATAGACAAGGACAGTGCAGCTCGACCCTGCTCCTTGGTCACAGGATTTGACTGACAGCATCAGGAGCCTTTGGCCTCAGCAAAGCCGGTGAGAGCCACTACAGATGGCTACAACACTGGATCGAATGAGGGCTCAGGTAAGTATAGGGGTGGAGGGGGTGATTTTGCCTAAAATATTTTTTACTTTAATGCAGGTAAGGTAAAAATGTTTAGGCTTTGGAAGCGCTTTTAAGGATTTGTATATTGTGATCATATCCCATCTTAAAGTGGTTCTAAAGGCTCCAGGTTTTTTACCTTCATGCATTCTATGCATGAAGGTGTGACTGGCGCGGCGTCAGACCCCCAACCCTTCTCACCAACTTGTGACCGAAGGGACTAGCCAATCTCTCACGTGCGGAACAATGCCACGCTCAGCTGCACCCTGCACAAAGAGTTTCCAGCTCACTGGACCACAATCTGTGCCGTAGCCTGAGAGTGATTGTTACTAGGTCAGGCAATTAACCCTTCACACTGCCACCACCGCCTGTTTGTAACGGAGAAGGAGGAAACTCGCCAATCTTAGTAGTAACAGTATGATGTTTGAATAAGCGTCTTGCATACATACTGTTTTTGGCTTTTGACGTTTTTTTTTCTACAGCTAGTAAACCCCCAGCATGTTATCATATGTGTCCATGCACACATAGACTGGAATCAACGTTTTTTGGCAAGGAAGTTTTTTTTGGTTGGAACAAAAACCCAGGAATAGTGGGTTTCTAGAGTTTTGTTTTTTTTTTGTTTGTTTGTTTTTTTTCGTTTTTTTTTTTTTAGCTGTAAAAAAACGCTCTAACGCTGTAAAACGCAGCAAACCGGCGTTTTTTTTTTTTTTTTTTATTTGGAATTTTTTTTTTTACCAAAAGTGGGAAACCTCTGCAAAATGCAGCTGAACTCTAAGGCAAAACACTAAAAAAAGCTGAAAAACTCACATTTTTAACGTGACTTTAGACCGCTACCGTTACCAGTGTGCGTGGAGCCTTACTGCATTTTGCCGTTTTTCAGCGTTAGAGCATTTTATAGCTGGCAACACTAATTTACTGCTGGTGTGTGAGAAATATGATCATGTGGACATACAGGAAACAAACAAAGAAGCTCCATGGGTCTGCTTACACTGATACTATATTGAGGGATAATGTAAACAGAAAACCCCTCTTTATCTTTATAAAACACTTTATATAGTTAAATGTAACTTGTTAAATGTTTGCCTCAATATTTAAAGCTGGAATGGCTGCCAAAAGACAGATGGGTGGATCTTCTAAAGCACATAGCTGGAACAAGTTATCTGTGTATGCCTGCTTTGAAATCAGTATGGGTGTTCTATGTCCTTGTATGCCCCCTCCCTCCAAAGCTATGACCTGCTAAATCAAGAGCTGCTCATTTTTTCTTCATTCTACTTTTTTTTCACACATATACAGTTGTGTGACTGGCACAAGGACATGGTAAATAGTCATTTTCCTAAAGTGTGATCTGATGCATTTTGTGTTTAACAGCTGATCAGTTTGTTGACCTGCTTGGTGCAGGGGTGTGGAAATTTTTAAAAGACTACTTGTCAAGGAACTAAATCTGGGTCCCAATCTACTTGTCCCTCATGACAATCTACTTTTCCAGATTAAAAAAAAGAATACATTTTAACCAAAACCGTACAGGCGTACCTCGGTTTACGAATGAAAATCCATTGAAAATAATGCCTCGGTTTACGATTTTTTTTTTTTTTGCAATACGAAGCATGTTTCCCCAGGATGCATTGTGCCCGGGAGGTTTATAGTACCGGCCCCGTGCCTTTAAAGTGCACTTTATAAAGCGTTTTGAACAGATAAGACTTTTTTTATTTTTTACTTTTTTCTGACGCCCAGAAGGATTAATTGGTTTTCAATGCATTTACAAATTTTTTTTTGCAACACGAAGCAAGTTTTCCCAGGATGATTGTGCCCGGGAGGTTTATTAGTACCGGCCCCGTGCCTTTAAAGTGCACTTTATAAAGAGTTTTGAACAGATAAGACTTTTTTTATTTTACTTTTTTTTCTGACGCCCAGAAGGATTAATTGGTTTTCAATGCATTTACAAATTTTTTTTTGCAACACGAAGCAAGTTTTCCCAGGATGAATTGCACCTGGGAGGTTTATAGCGGCAGCCCCGTACATGCTGGAGTCTGTGGGTAGCACGTGGCATAGAGTGTGGAGGTGTTGGAGCGGTTTTTGCATCGAGTTTTGGCGCCATTCAGGAAATTTTTAATCATGTCCCTATACAGTATTTATCTTTTAAAGTGCACTTTATAAAGAGTTTTTGAACAGATAAAAGACTTTTTGTTAACTTTTTTCTTAGCTCTGGAACAAATTAATTGGTTTTAATGCATTCCTATGGGTTTCGGTTTACGAATTTTTCGCAATACGAAATGTCCCGGAGAACGCATTAAATTCGTAAACCGAGTTACACCTGTATTTAATCCTGAGGTGTTGTTAGGAATGTCTGGGACTTTTAAAATCAAAAGGGGCTCTATGGTGACTTAAATGTTTTAATTTTTTTCTTTTTAACATTTCCCTGCCTGCCTGTCTCCAGAACTGCACCCGGAGACTAGCAGGGAGGAAAGAGACCTTGCCATGTAATAGCACTGCTTGGGTGCTTGTCAGGAAAGGGGAGTTTAGGCTTATCCTTTATCCCTTTTGGTGGCAGAGCCTTTTTTTTTTGTTTTTTGCACACGTTAAAAAATCATTTTAGGCTTGAAGATTACACTAAACCCCCAAACATTATATATTTTCTGAAGGCAAAGAATCTAGAGAATAAAATAGAGGTAGTTCCAATTTTTTGTGTCGCACGATATTACCACAAAGGTAAAAATACACCTAAATTAATTTTAGGGCACAAAAAGCAATAAATTACCCTATTTTTTGGTAAAATATAAAAGATGAGGCTCCACCGAGTAAATAGATATCCAACATGGCAAACCTTAAATTTGCGTGCGCTGGTGAAATGGCGACAATTGTCAGTACTCTATATTTTCTATAGACCCTGTATGTCTCCCATGTGCTCCCCTGAATGTAATGCAATGCACATCGCACCGCATTACATTCTTTCCCGGCCTCAATAGAGAGCCCTGCTGCTTGCCCGCAGCAGTGTTAGAGGTTGAATGACGTCCGGAACTACATGTCCCGGGCAACAGGCGATACAAATTCAATATCCCTATGGATGATGTCTTACTGTGATCAGAGTCTAGTCTATGGACACCAAAATATTGATAGACCAAAATAATCATAACTATAAATGTTATCCATAGATTGAGGATGTTGTCAAGAATGATATGCAGGCAAGCTTTACATTTTTCACCTAGATTTTTCTTCCTTTCTTTAGGTGAAGATAGAGGTTGGAGATGTTACTATCCTAATTAACAATGCTGGCATAGTGACTGGAAAGAAATTCATCGACTCACCCGATGCTCTAGTAGAGAAAACCATGCAAGTGAACACCATGGCACATTTCTGGGTAATTCTTTTTTTTTTCACTCGACCTACAAGACCTCTTGCTGACAGTGTATACAAAATATATACAGTATTTGAGGAATATGTTATCCCAGCCCTCATGGTCTGAGCTCCATGGCATCCTAAAGTTCCCTGTAAGCAATGGCCATCATTTTGATATTGATTAGTGATTTACCATCCAACTAGAGTCCTGTGTTTGGGGTTTATTCCCCAAGGCTCCATTCACACTAGGTTTTTGCAAATCGTGGGCAGAATTGCCGCAATTTTGCCCTCAATTTGAAAATGTGCTGTAAAAGTGTGAAACCGTGCAGGGCGTTTTTGCCGCAATCGCGGCGCTTTTTTCCACGTGGAGGGGGGCCTTGGAGGTGTGGGATTCCTCTGTCCACCTGTGTGGTTTTTTTTTTTTTTTTTTTTTGTTTTTTTGTTTTTAATTCAGCTCTCTGGCTAAACAAAGGGTGAGGGCCTGTGTCAAAAGGCTTTAGGTTTATGTTTGTGGCATCAGCTTGAGAGACTTCTCAGAGCATTCAGTATTCATTGATGGGTGCATTTGGCTTGCAGTTGACTGATTCTGACCTTCATTTGACCTTGTTTAAACAAGTTTTGCATTCCCAATAATTTGTATGAGAATATAAAACCTATTTCAAGAGAAAAGACACAGTTAAGCTGGCCATAGATGGTTAAAATCTCGGCCAGTTCAGCAGGGACGAGCCGGGATTTGAACCATGTATGGGCAGGCTGAATTTACCCAAGCTAATCCATTGATCGACTTTGGTACAACCAGGACACCCGATTTTTACATGCGATTGTCAGCAGCTATACAGTAGTCACTAGCAATATTCACTGTGTTCTCCTGGCAGGGACAGCTCCCCGTACCCCCCCTGCCAGGAAAACACCATAGCTTCATGGGAGTGATTCCACCATCAACCTTGACTGTGTTGATTGGGGAAATTGAGCGATTTTCAACCTATGGTTGCAGGAAAAAAAAATCTCATCGTCTATGGCCTGCTTTAGTCGGCCAAGTTGGTTGTTTAACCGTAGCATCTCACATCATCAGGCAGTGAGATAGCTGGTTTCATCACCATTGATAAGGATTAAAGTTTATCTAAAGCCAACACTGCTGTTGATGACAAAGTCTGGTGGCCTTCTAAGAAGCTCCAATCTTGAAGCACAAGGGAACAGTACTTAGATACACTATCTAAACTCAATTTTTTTTGTTATTTATTTTTTAGGGTTTTTTTTAGTTTTAAAAAATCGTAGGGAAGGGTTAAAACTCCCATAATGTGTTTCCTGTCACTACCCTGTTGAGGAGACTTTCTGTCCTGTAGACACAAGGAGGTTTATTTACTAAAGCTGGAGAGTGCAAAATCAGACTCACTTCTGCATAGAAACCAATCAGCTTCCAGGTTCCATTGCCAAAGCTTCATTGAACAAGCTGAGGTTAGAAGCTGATTGGTTTCTATGCAGAAGGGAGTCTGATTTTGGACTCTCCAGCTTTAGTAAATAAACCCCAAGGTGACTGGTTATTAGGACGACGAGATTGTGAATCTTCACAGTGGGCACAGAGATGACGATAAGATGTTGACAGCATTGCTAACCCTTGCACACACTATCCAATAATGTTTGGCTTTAGATACACTTCATTCCATTTTCTTTGACACTCTGGAACTGCTCCAGACACAACAAGCATTTCTGACTATTGTATATAATGATTATTTTGTAATATTGACCCATATTCTTGTCTATTATATCAAGATTTATTGGTCACATCATTACCAACTAATGAGTGTTGTATGAGTGACTAAGATAGTCTTGGCGGTTACTGGTGTTTGCAGGTGGGTTGTCTCCTATTATATAAGTGCCATTAATGTCTGTGGTCATATTTAGGATTTTTTTTTTGTTATTTCAAAACCATAAAAATTTTATGTAGCTCATAAATGAAAATGGTTATGTTTGCATCAAAGTCCTGGCCTGTGTTTGGCCCTGGAGAAATGAAGTTGGATAGCCGTGTTTTAGCCAGTCTGTTTTGCCTTTTGTGCAAATGCTTCATGTTTTCTTCTCTCAAGTCTCTTGTCTATGGTTTTCATTTCTTTTCATGAAAAAAAAAAAAAAAAATCCGTCAACAGGATTTTCAAAATTACATTTCAGCTGTGTTCTGTTGAGTTCCATGGAAACAGCCATTGGGAATGATCGAGTAAACACAGTTACTGATTCAGATTTGCAGGATAGAAGTTTTATTCTGAAGAAGTAATTTAATAGTTTGTCTTCTAGCCCAGTATATGTTGCCAAACCTGTGACGCCCCTGAACCATGAAAAGTTCAGAACTGGGGCTTCTGTGTTGCCTTGAGGCTAAGTCTCATTAAAAAGCAGAACTTTTTATAAGAAGTGATTGTTAAAATCCCTAAATATAACCAATAAATGTATTTACCCCTTGTCCTAGCTAACAGAAGAATGATGGCCAGGGCAGCTAATGTGCAGTCCTGACCTAACCAAATACTTGTGCTACCCATTCCCCTACATCATTGCTCTGGTTAATAGCCAAGGGTTGCATAGTCTGAAATAGGGAAAGCTCCTTCTCTTTTTTTTCCTGAATGTTGAAAGCAGATTGCTATTATCTTAGTTAAAATGTGTTTCTTAGCTAACTAAGATGAGACATTCATAAAAATATCTAGTGTAATTCATATTGTGCCCTTTTGGGTAAATTGTAGAAATACTCAGTATCAAAGTGCCAAAATAAAACCATATCTTGTAGCACACATCTGTTCAATTCTGGTAGAATCCATTGATATGTTCTGTGGATTTTGGATATCTCACTCCCTGTAATGTAATGTGGGGAGAATAGAATGAGAGGCATACATAGATATAGCAGCAATTCCCACATATGTGGATTTGTATTTTTTCAAATAATTAAAGTGTTTCTAAACCCAGGACCCTGCATTTACTATAATTGGTCTCTCACAGTACACAAAACATGGAAATGCAATTATTGTAGTAAATATAAACTGCTAAATACCTTTTCTCGCCAGCAGTATATAGCAGTCTTGTGACTTCTATCAGTGTCCAACTGGACACTGGTTAAAGCTTGTAGAGTTTTCATTCTCTTATGACTGTCCTATGAGGCTGCATAACCCCTGATCTTCTGTCTGGACAGTGCTGATTGGCCCTGTGCTGATCACATGTTCCCTCCCAAAGAATGAAAAACTCTAGCAGTACACACCAAACGGAGTATGTGCAGAGTATCTCCTAGAGCTCTGTACTGTCAGCAGACGGATTGGGGAAAGTAGAAAAAGGGGAGGATCAGAGAAGACAGGATCAAATAGCCTTTTTACACAGTGTGGAGGATTAACTCTTTCGGTTCTACAGGGAGTATAACAAGCATGCTTTACTTCATATACAGACTGATTTTACTGCTGTGGGTTTAGTAACACTTTAAGTTCAGTGAAACTCCTTGTTCAGCAGTGGGTGCTATTTATGACTAATACCTAATGTTTTTGTTGTTCTGCAGACATGTAAAGCCTTCCTGCCTGCTATGATGGCCTCCAATCATGGACATCTAGTGAGCATTGCCAGCTCTGCTGGACTGATAGGAGTCAATGGACTTGCAGGTGAGAACAGTTTGGGAGCAGAGTGCAGCAGTAAGGGTAAACATTCACAATACATTTTGTGTGGAGAAGTGAAACAAACCTGTTTTAGATGCTTTTCTTAATTCTGGAAGAGTAATACTTCATTCATCTAGCATAGAAATTTAAAGGAATAATCTGGTTGCTCAAACAACACAGAGCATCCTTCAGACATTCAAACTTTTATCTAATAAGGGCAACATTTATCCATAGCCCAGGTTACTACGATTACAGTAATGCTTTTGGTCACATACAGTTGCTTAGTAGATTGCCTGCTGAAATTGACTACTGCTTGAAGACGTTGGGTCGCAGTCAAGTAGAGCGCACAATTCTTCCCATTGGCTGAGAAACAAATTTTAAGGGACTCTGTCATTCTAGATTCAAGGAGGACTGCTCCATTGCTGAACTCTGCTTTTGAGAATGCTAGATCTCTGGCTGTGGTGCTGAAGCTTTGGTTTTAATGCTTTGAGCTGGTAACTTGACCATTTATAGAGAGAAGGAATGATGACACTCATTAAGGGCTCATTCACACTGCCCACACACTAAACCACAACTATTTAGTATTTGGGCATATCTCCATTCCAGCTACAATGAGCTGACGGTAGGGGGTGGTAAGATGCTTCCAACAGCCTTAGAGTCTTCTTGTCAGACATTTCAACTTGTCCATATGGAATGTACAACTCCTGGCAAAAAGTATGGAATCAACACTCTTGGAAAATGTTCATTCAATTGTTTATTTGTGTAAAAAAAAAAATAATCATAAACATGCCTCAAAACTATTCTCCTTTAACATTCCAACCTTCTGGTTTAAGAAATACTTAAAGAAAACTGTAGTCAATTGCAACTGTTTTTGCAGATCAAGCAGAGGAAAATAATATGCAATCCCTCAATTCTGAGGAAAATATTCTGGAATCACCATGTACTTTGCAATTCTAAAACCAAGATTTAGATTGTAAGCTGCACAAGCAGGGCCCTCATATTCCTTCTGTACTGAAATGTATTGTAATTGTACTGTCTCTCTTATATTGTAAAGCGCTGTGCAAACTGTTGGCGTTATATAAATCCTGTATAATAATAATCTGCATCAGATTACATTTGGTAATTAGTCTGCAGTTAAAAGAGTGCTTGCACACCTTGGTGAGCTCTTGCACCAAGCTCATTGACATGAATCATGGCTTTAATGCAAGAGGTGTCAGTTTAAACAAGGGAGAGGATTATAAAACTTCTTCAAGAAAATAAATTATCAGGGAATGTTGCAAAAGATGTTGGTCTAGATTTTAGACACAGCTGACTAGAAACAGCCAAGTACAAATCAAATGGGAACGTTGTAAAAGGGAAGCATACTGATAGACCAAGGTAGATCTAAAAGCGCCAAGATAGTAAACTTAAAGCAATATGCCTTGAAAACAGAAAATGCACAATAAAACAAATGAGGAACAAATGGGCAGAAACTGGGCTTAACCACGATTTATCCCCCTTCCTGACCAGGCCATTTTTTTTTTGCGACATGGCGCTGCGTTTCTTTAACTGACAATTGCGCAGTCATGCAACACTGTGTACATAAATGAAATTTTATATTTTTTTTTTTTTCCCGCAAATAGAGCTTTTTTTCGGTGGTATTTGATCACCTCAGCGTTTTTTTTTTTTTGTGCTATAAACAAAAAAGACTGACAATTTTGAAAAAAAAAAAAACAATATTTGTGACATTTTGCTATAAAACATATCCAATAAAAAATGTAAAATATCAAATTTCTTCATAAATTCAGGCAAAAATGTATTCTGCTACATGTCTTTGCTAAAAAAAAACAAAAACCCAATACGTGTAAATTAATTGGTTTACGTGAAAGTTATATCGTCTACAAATGGTGGTATACATACTGAAATTTTTTTTTTATACTAGTAATGGCGACGATCCGCAACTTATAGCGGGAGTGCAGCGGGCATTCTGACACTGGGTGGGAACTAACTGCCACTGACATCCCCTGTCACACTAATACAGTGATCAGTGCTAATACAAAACACTGAAATGGTACTAATGACACTGGGCAGAAGGGGTTAACATCTGGGGCGCTCAAAGGGTTAACTGTGTGCTGTGATTTACTGGGGAGACATGCTGTGCAGAGAGATACAAATCAGCATATCCATGATTACAGGAGAGAGAACTGTGTTGTTTACATAGAGGTCCCTCCCCTGTCAGCTTTACCTGACTATCGCTGAGTGCCAGCCAGTAATCATCAGCAGGGACCCGGTGATTGACATCCCTAGCCGCTAATCGCGTCAAGGGTAGGACGGTGCGTGCGCCCATAGACAGAAATGCAAATCATGTAAATATACGTGATTTTGTGCAGCCCTGCTGCCCTGTAGCAGTACTGCTGCCATAGGGCGGAGAGAAAGTGGTTAATATCTGTGACTGAACTGTAAGACATCGACTAAAAAAAAATGGAATTTACATACAGAAAAGCCAAAAGAAAACCATAATTCAACCTAAACAGCAGAACACAAGGTTACAGTGGGCTAAAGAAAAGCAATTCTGGACACTGGATGAATGAAAGTGATATTCAGTGATGAATCACGAATCTTCATTGGGCAGCGTGATGATGCTGGAACGTTTGTTTGGTGCAATTCCAATGAAATGTATAAAGATGACCACCTGAAGAAAACATGCAAATTTCACAAATCATTGGTGATATGGGGTTGATTGTCAGGTAAAGGTACGGGGGAGATAACTCTTCAATAAATGCAAAGAAATAGAAAGCTTATATTGACATTTTGGACACTTCTTATTCCAACAATTGAAAGGATGTTTGGTGATGATGACATAATGTTTCAGGAAGACATAGGACAAAAGCTGTGAAAACTTTGCTTCAAGACATACCGGGGTTTATTTACTAAAGCTGGAGAGTGAAAAATCCGGCTCCCTTCTGCATAGAAACCAATCAGCTTCCAGGTTTTATTGTGAAAGCTTGAGTGAACAAGCGGAGGTTAGAAGCTGATTGGTTACCATGCACAGCTGCACTAGATTCTAAGTGAACCAGCTTTAGTAAATCTCCACCATAACCTCAATGGCATGGTTTGCAAATAGTCCGGACCTCAATCCAATTGAAAATTTACGGTGGAAATGAAGGAAAATGGTCCATGACAAGGCTCCAACCTGCAAAGCTGATCTGGCAACTGCAATAAGAGAAAGTTGGAGCCGGATTGATGAAGAATACTGTTTGCCAATAGCTAAATCCACGCCTCAGAGGATTCAAGCTGTTATAAAAAGTCAGAGGTGGTGCAATAAAGTACTAGTGGTGTACTGTAGTGTTTTTTTTCATGATTCCATAATAATGTCCTCAGAACTGAAAGGTGGAAAATAGGTAGAAAGGTGAACTTCTCCTTTTAATACATGTTATCCATGATTTCTATTACTCTAAAACTTGATGATAATGAAAAGGTGACCTTTGATGTTTTGGTGACTAAGATCTTATCAGGCTGCATGATGATACTGCTAAAGTACATAAGCCACATAACTAGAACAAAGTTCACGGCCTCTTCCCTACTACAAGTGCCTGTAAAATCCAAAATGCCATAAAAACCACAAGGCACCAACATTTACATTGCTGCTTAGCTAACCGTAGCTTTATAAATCAACATTTTGGGAAAGCTGTGTTTTAGTGTGAAGGCTTAGTTTGTTTATGAAAACACTGGGGCTGATTTACTAATACTGGAGAGTGCAAAATCTGGTGCAGATGTGCATGGTGGCCAATCAACTTCTAACTCCAGCTTGTTCAGTAAGGCCTCATGTACACTGGATGTTCTAAAATCGCCAGTAGCGTTAGCTGTAGAATGCTGTGATAAAAAAGCGTGAGGTTTTTTTTTTTTTTTTTTTTTTTTTAGCTTTCCTGCATTAGCTTTTTTTTCAGCTTTTTTTTTTTTTGTTTGTTTTTTTTAATTTTTTTTCAGCGTTTGCGTTTTTTAGCAGTTATACTCTCTCAAAATCTTCAGGCTCAAAAACGCTTATAAATGCCAGATAGCCGCGTTTTTAAGCTTTTATTGGCATTTTTCAACTTTTAGTAGCGTTTTTCAGCTTTTATCAGCATTAGTCCTCATGCACACTGGACGTTTTTACAGCTGCTGTTTTTGGCTTTTGACATTTTTTTCTACAGCTAGTAAACCCCCCAGCATGCACACGTAGAATGTAATCAATGTTTTTTGGCTGGGAAAAAAAAAAAAAAAAGGACTAGTGGGTTTCTAGATGAGTTTTTTTAGCTGTAAAAAACTCTCTAATGCTGAAAAACATGATAAAACGCAGCAAACCAGCATTTTTGGTTGTCTTTGTGACCCGAAAAAAAATATTATTTTTTTTTTTTTGGGTTAAAAAACCGCAAACTCCGCTAACCTCGGCAAAACGCTAATGCAAAAATGCTAAAAAAACTGAAACGCTCACATTTTTAACATGACTTCACACAGCTAACGTTGCCAGCGTTATCAAAACGTCCCGTGTGCATGGAGGCTTAGAGCTTTTTTACAGCTAAAAAACTCCTTTTGAAACCCACTAGTCCTGGGTTTTTTTTTCCCAGCCAGAAAACGTTCCCGCCAAAAAACGCTGATTAAAGCCTATGTGAGCATGAACACATAGGATAACATGCTGGGGAGTTTACTGGCTGTAGAAAAAAAAAAAAAACAGCAGCTGTAAAAACATCTAGTGTGCATGAGGACTTAGGATTTGACAATAAAACCTGGAAGCTGATTGGATTCTATGCAGAGCTGCACCAGTTTTTGCATTCTCCAATTTTAGTAAATCAACCCCTTTACATTAGAAATTGTTTACTGTACAATGGTCTGGTCCTAGTATTTGGTTTTAAATGGTTTATAGGTATATTTTAATAGAGGTTATGGTTCTACTGCAGGAACCAGGGACTATTGGATACTACTTTTAAATTTTGAGTGTTCCTGATTATCAGATTTGTTTTTTTTTTTTTTTAAATTCAGCGGTTGGTGTGTGGTGTGGTCCTGCCAAGAACAACGCTGATCTTGGCACATTGCACTGGCAATCGCAACTGCAGATGCCTCCAGCTGGCAAAACCAGTCAGGCTTTCATACCAGGATTTCCCAGTTTCTTAGTGGCACAAACCAGAATAACCACAATGGTTCCTGGATGGTTGAGTACCTAATTTATGGATGTTTGAACTCTAATTATGTTTGCAATAGCTGATTAATTCAGAGCCATGAACTGTATTGTTCATTGCTTGTCTGACATTTTCTAAGCTATGGACTTTTGGCCATATTTGCTATAATATATGGATGCACGCACTTCTTACTTATGCTACAATATTTGACCATTTTAAAGCCAAGAACTTTGCATGTGCATATTTGTTGCAACTATTAAAACTAATATGTAGACCCTCACATTGTAAAACAACCCATTCAGTTTAAAATAGAAATGAAAGGCAAAACATTTGTGTATAGAAATAAAAAACTTTATAAATACATTTTCCCTGTTTTGTAGATGATCACATACCCTCTGAGCTCCTTATGCAGCTGAGAGCTGGGGTAGGTGAAATGGCAGTACGCTGATCTTCCCAGTGAATGGCTGTGCAACAAAAAGTTTGATCATTGGAGGAGAGCACACTGTTCCAGCTAGAGAACTGACCACGTTTTGCTCTCATGCCTAATTTGGTCAGTTTTTAATAGGAAAGCAAAGGGACTGGCTGGATCACCAGGATTTTCAAATAAAGGAAGCAATATAAAGAAAACGGGATACATTTTGATATAAGTACATGGTACAACAGGCACATATCAGGAATATGAAATGCTGGATTTACATACTCTTTAAGTATAATCTGCATAATCGCTGCAAGGATCAAAGAGAAGAAGAGGAAAAAGATAAAACAGGAGGGGGGGGGAGGTTAAAGAAGAAAGGGGTTGGAAAGTTAGGTAAGAGATCAAAAGCATCCACACTAATTTATTGATAAGTAATGTATCCAAGGATTCCATGTTTTTTGGCACATTTTGATTGGGCATTCTTGAGGGTACAGGAAGTTTGTCATTAGTAAATTGTCATTCAATTTCATTTCTGTTTGATGGAACCAGTCAGTGGTATCTGACTACAATACTGCGCTTTTGCAATTCTGGCAGCTAGAATTATGTAATATTACTTTTTTCAGGTTTTAGGGAATATCCACATCTGTTTTCTGCAAAAATGCTATTTCCAATATTCTTGGAATCTTCACCCGTTACCAATCATATCAAATGAAAGTCTAATCCAGAATCTGGATACTTTAGGGCATTGCCACCATATATGAAAGTTGGTGCCATTTCAGCCTTTTCACTTTTTTTTTTTTTTTTTTTTTTTTTTTTTTTTTTTTTGGGCAAATGAAGGGTGTCATTTTTCCCTAGTCCTTGACCCGGAAAGCTATTTTTTTATTATTTTTTTTATTTTGGTAGGTGACCAAACAAAGAGCATTTGCACTGTTTAGAGCACTATAATGAACATGCACAGCTAAAAGGTATATCCGGCATAAAGCTGGCCATGGACCGTTCAATTTGGGTGCAACCAGTCTGTCAGATTTTACATGCAGTTATTGCTAGCAGCTACTGTATTATAGCCGTTTGCAGTAACCACTGTGTTCTCCCGGCTGCAGGAAAGAGAAAATCTCTCCGTCTGTGGCCGACTTAAGACATTTGAGACTATCGGTAGTGGTCAGCACTAAAGCCATAATAAGATCAAGATTTTTTACTTCACTTTGACTTTTTAATCTGCATGCATATTCCAGGAAAGGAACTTGCACAATATTGAAACTAAAGACAGTCATTTAACTAGTTTTCTAAGGAGGAAGTCAACAATGCCAGCCCTTCGTTATTTAACTGCAGGTTTTCTTAAAATTGCAAAATTAAAGTGATTCTAAAGGAAAGATTATATTTTTTTAAAACAACAAGTTATACTTACCTGTTCTATGCATTGGTTTTGCACAGAGCAGTCCTGATCCTCTTCTTTTTGGGTCCCCTGCAGGGAGTCCTGGATCCTCCCACCTGCCAAGTGCTCCCAATAGCAAGACTCTTTCTACAGGGGCATTCGAGCAGGCTTGCTTCCGAGCTGCACTCTGTGTGTCCATTCACACACGAAGCCTGGCTCAGTCCCACCCCCATACTCTTGCTCTCCCCTCACTTGCCGTCTGGCTGTGGTTGTCAGCAGCAGGAACCAATGGCTCCCGCTGCTGTGTGAGCCAGTGAGGAGAGAGAGACCTGGGAGAGCTGCTACTCTCATGCACATCGCTGGATCGATGTACCCAGAAAGTGTTTTTACCTTAATGCATAGAATGAACCACTTTTAAGCTGCAGTATATTACAATATAAGCAATATGTTATGATTTGTTGTATGGCTCTTGGTTCTTTAAATGTGTATGGAGTATGATCTGTTAGAATACACTAATTGAACAATAAGGTATTTGTGAAAATATTCGGTAATGTCTACAGGTATGTTATTCTTTGGTTTACCTGAAAGTATTTTTCATTTAGCTTTAATGTATTTACTTGCTAGCTGTGTCACATAGGAAATGACATTGTTTGGGTTTTTTTATTGAATTTGTTGTAAGGTTTCCACCAGAAACAGGAGTGTAGCTGATTAAAGGGGAATAGACTGGTAAAATGCAGGATGAAAGGTGATTCTTTTTAAGTCTTTAGCTCATACTGCTCAAACTCCCCCCTCCCTCAAAGTTGGACAAAATCATTACAGTGTGCTTGTATAATCTACTTTATCTTTACCAACAACTTTGTAGTGTGAGAGCAGATTTGACATAAAATGCTTGGGTTAATTGGTAAGCCCACACAGACTTCCCATTTCATTGATGCACTTTGTCTTGTTTTGCAGATTACTGTGCAAGTAAGTTTGCAGCCGTCGGGTTCGCAGAATCCGTTGGCCTTGAGATGTTGGCTCTGGGCAAAACTGGTGTGAAGACCACAATCGTTTGTCCATATTTTATAAACACCGGAATGTTTGACGGATGTACAACCAAGTAAGCAAGAAAAAAAAGCCATTGTATTATCATTTTGAATTGTAAGTGGCTAGAATTGGAACACTAACTTTCATACAGATATAGCAGTCCAGTGCTGCACTTCACCTATGTTTATAACCATATAAAGCAACTCTAACAAATGACATAAACATCTATTTATAAAATGTAAACATCTGATAATAAAAATAGTCCTGAATTGATGTATATCTTCACAGATGCTTTAATTCCACAGTGCTTCTTAACCCCCCCCGTGCTTCTATACACTGCAAACCAATGAATGTGTGTATCCATCTCCACTGGATGTGCTCTTACCTAATATATATGACCAGACCGCTAGGTGAGGTCATAAATGGCATGTGTCCCTTATATGTGGACTGATGTCTTGTGTCCAATAGGCATACATCTTCTCCACTTTCTTAGCTCTCCTCCCGTCATATGTGCACCGAAAAGAGATGACCCGAACACAGTGCTTTATCTTTATAAAACCTTTATTAATAACACAACTACAGTATTTCACTCACATGTATGATGTAATTAAGCACGCCACATAAAATGACTCCAATTGGATTCAATATTGGAGTACTGATCCTCCAACCGCTTGCATGCAGCCAGCTGTATTACACTCTCCTGTCCTACGTGCGTCATGACGTCACAACCTCTCCCCACTGGTTTGCAGTGTATAGAAGCACGGGGGGGGGGGGGGGGGGGTGGATAAGAAGCGCTGTGGAATCAAAGCATCTGTGAAGATATACATCAATTTAGGACTATTTTTATTATCAGATGCTTTCATTTTACAAATAGATGTTTGTCACTTGTTAGGTTTATAACCATATAAAAACAACTCTATGTGAAGTGTGGCGCTGGACTGCTATATATGATATACATATAACACATTTTGTATGGGAGTGTGAATAGTGTGGGCGATTCACAATTTTTTGTAAATTGTTTGCATTATTTTTGGTTTTTAGCATAGCAGCTCACAAGATTTTGCACTTAATATATTGTAAAACCTTTAAGCAGATTTGCAATCTGTGATTGATGAAGCTGGTTGAGTTGAGTGTAAAGTGGTTATTTAGAGTTACCTCTTCATTCCCCCATCCACATATGTTCAGTTGCAGTGTACCACAGCTGGTTCTCGCCTAGCTGACAATCGTCACTCTGGTCAGTTGTTTTCCGATTCTGACACCTGGGGAGATTGCAAAGTAGCATGACATGACTGACAGTGTAGCAAGATTTTACATTTTCTTTGTGCCCCTATTCTATAGATAGTCAGGTACTTCAGCATGATACCATAACCAGGTCCACCAATCCCAGATTACTGACCAGTGCAAAGCAAATTATAGCAAATTGGCCTTTTTGGATGTCAGAAGATATACAGCAGTGGTTGTCAACTTAGGAGCTATAGGGGGCCTCAACTACGGCCCCTGACACCACCAAAGGGCCACACATAATGTTAAATATATTGTATGTAATGCTTGAGAGGACTGCAGGCCTAATGGAGGAAATGACTGTTAGATATTGTACACATGCTACATTTTTAGCCTGGAGACAGGCTGCAGAAGAAAAATATGAAACCAGGTGCTATTACCCCTAATCATGTTCCCACTACAGGCTGGCGAGGTCCGAGGGCTGCACATCATGTACCAAAAGGCCGCAGGTGGCCCTTAGGCCACAGGTTGGGCACCAAGGGTATATAGTCTACGCCAATACATTGAACACATCCAGTTATTTAAGAAATATAATCTTTTTTTATTCTCTCCAACTGACCTAGGAAAGGAAGGGAAGCATCAAAAGCATCCTTTTCAAGATGGATTCATCTAGCTATTAGCATAGTCTATGCAGCAGCAGGGAAACCTTGTCCCCTATGCATCACCGCTAATTTCACACAGTATCTGTCCACATCCTGGACTGAAAGTGCTAGTGCCCATTGTCCCACCCTTGTAACATTTTGCTGCTGACTCTAGTGAGCTGTCCAGGAAGATGATTTGAGAACATTTGAGTTCATAAATCCTTTTCCTTGAATCCTCTAGGATGGTTCCCTTGGTACCTAATTTTTAGGTGTATTCATGGCTTTTGGTTTTGTCAGTTGTCTTGCTATTAACTGATGGTGATGGCTCCTTGTAGCCTTTTAAACTCTTGCAGCTTGTGTTTCATGCAGGTAAGTGGAGCCATCTCTCTCTAGTGAACCATCTTGGAAGATTCATGAAAAAGTAGTGATCACATGATAACATCTAGTTTTTATTTCTTTTATTTTTACAGATGGCCCCGGTTCCTGCCAATTTTAGAGTCAGACTATGCCAGTAAGACAATTGTAGATGCCATTCTAAAAGAACAAGTATACCTCATTATGCCTCGTGGACTCTACATCGTATTTGGCTTCAAAAAGTGAGTGAGAAAACACTAAGCATTGTCATTGTCTTTTATGTGCAGATATTTACCTTTCTATAGACCTCTTAGGCTGTGGGGATGCTATAGTGCAGGTACTGTGAGTGGAATGTGTCTAATTTGTGTTAGAAAAGTTTTGCTTTAGGATTAGATAGATTGGCTGTGTCCATATGCAGACTTTATTAAAAAAATGTCCACAGTTTGGCCATAATGCCCCACACTCACAGGGCTCAATTTGCCACATTGAGTGATGATGGGCATCATTCAAACTGGAAGACTGGAATAGGGCTTCTTGCAGCAAAAATGTTCTGTGGGGGAGAGCTCCAGACCACAGACTGATTTCCTGAGGGGACCTTTTTACAGAACAAAAAAACATTTGAAATATATATATGAGAGAGAATCAAATACATGACCTTCTGACTTTTTTTGCCTAAAAAGTAGTCCACACGCTTAGAACACTTTGAAAACACATCAGATCTCAATGGGGAAAAATATCATACTGGATATCTATACTGATATGGACTGGTAATGTGTTAGGAATGTAAGGATGCCCCTTCGTTTGATGGAAATGAAAATCTTCAACCTACAGAGGACTGAATTCAAAGACACCCTGGAATTCAAAGTGAAGAAATGATGCAGCAGGCTAGTTAATTTTGCTAGAATTCCATTGCAGCTTAAAATGGTACTCAGTTTGTACGGCCCCCCAACTAATGAGATGATGGATGATGTCCTGGGGTATTTCCTCCTAGATCTGGACAAGGGCATCATTGAGCTCCTGGATTGTCTGAGGTGCATCCTGGTGGCGAAACATGATATCCCAGAGGTGTTCTATTGGATTTAGGTCAGGCGAGCGTGGGGGCCATTAAGTGGTATCAATTCCTTTATCCTCCAGGAACTGCCTGCATACTCTCGCCACATGAGGCCAGGCATTGTTGTGCACCAGGAGGAACCCAGGACCCACTGCACCAGCCATAGGGTCTGATAATGGGCTCAAGGATTTAATCCCAATACCTAATGGCAGTCAGGGTGCCATTCATGGAGGTCTGTGCGTCCCTCCATGAATATGCCTCCCCAGACCATCACTGACCCACCACCAAAACAGTCATGCTGAACGATGTTACAGGCAGCATAACGTTCTTCATGGCTTTTCCAGACCCTTTCATGTCTGTCACATGTTCTCAGGGTGAACCTGCTCTCATCTGTAAAAAGCACAGGGAACCAGTGGCAGACCTGCCAGTTCTGGTGTTCAATGGCAAATGCCAATCGAGCTCTATGGTGTCGGGTAGTGACCACAGGGCCCACTAGAGCACATCAGCCCTCAAGCCATTCTCATGAAATATGTTTCTAATTGTTTGGTCAGAGACATTCACACCAGTGTCCTTCTGGAGCTCATTTTGTAGGGCTCTGGCAGTGCGCATCCTGTTCCTGCTTGTACAAAGGAGCAGATATTGGTCCTGCTAATGAGTTAAGGACCTTGTATGGCCCTGTCCAGCTCTCCTAGAGTAACTGCCTGTCTCCTGGAATCTTCTCCATGCTCTTGAGACTGTGCTGGGGAACACAGCAAACCTTCCGGCAATGCCACGTATTGATGTGCCATCCTGGAGGAGTTGGACTGCCTGTGCAATCTCTGTAGGGTCCAGGTATTGTCTCATGCTACCAGTAGTAGTGACAGTGAACCTAACCAAATGCAAAACTAGTGAAAAACAGTCAGAAAAGATGAGTAGGGAAAAAAAAATTCAGTGGCCTCCACCTGTAAGACCATTCCTGTTTTTGGGTTTGTCTCATTGTTGCCCATCTAGTGCACCTGTTGTTAATTTCATTAATACCAAAGCAGCTGAAACTGATTAACAACCCCTCTGCTACTTAACTGACCAGAGCAATATTCCAGGAGTTTAATTGACTGAATGCTATACTCTGATTAAAAAGTGTTCCTTTAATTTTTTTTGAGCAGTGTATTTACGGTGGTGGTGCACTTTGTTTTTTAGAAGACGTGTGCATACACAAAGATCTTTACATCATATTGCACAACAACACTAGGACTTTTATCATTTTAAAATCACTTTGTTTATGATTTCTCATTTAAGTATATATGTTTTTTTTCACTTCTATGTATGCATGATTTTTCTTTTGGTTTAGTGGATGTATATTCATGTGAATTCATGAAATTTTCGGCAACATATTTGCACTAGTTTGTTTACAATTTTATCTAATTGTTTTGCCAGCTGCTTCATTTTGAGTTCTGCCAGCATGATTTCTGCAGACGTAGAGGCAGACCAATGACTTGCATTTTTAGAAAGATATCATCAATAGCAGTTACTATGCTTCTCTTAGTACACTGTTAGTTAACACTCTCTAGATGGGGGCTTTCTATATTTATTTTTACAATATGAACAATGTGTATGAATTCTGTTTACAGGTTTTATTTATTTCATTTTTGTCTGGTCACCTCCTGGGAATATTACTTTAATTATGTTACAGAACTCATTGTATTTGTTTACATTGTATTGTGAACTAATGCCTTTTTTTTTTTGTTTTTAGCCTTATGTCTGCAAAACTGGGAGTGGTTCTTGGTGACTACTTTGGAGCTTTTCATTTCATGGATCATTTCAAAGGACGGGTTAAGAAGGAGTAATCTCAATGTTTCTGTTTCAGCTTGTTTAAGCGTACAGGTTTAACAAGACCAGTGAATGTATGACCAAACTCGCATACCTTGCTCTATCAAAGACTTTTTTCAATAAACAAATCTTTAGATTTTTATCTAAAGCCAGCCATAGACAGTTCGAATCTCAACCACTTCACTGGGGACTGGCCATGACCAGCCATGGTTTGAGCAATAGGCAGGATGACTGTACCAAAGTTGATCAAACTATCAACTTGAGTACAACCAGCATGTTGTATTTTCCATGCGAATATTGCCAGCAGCTATACATACTAGCAGTAATCACTGTGTGTTCTCCTGGCAGGGATGACTCCCTGTGCCCCCCCCCCCATTCCTCCAGGAGAACACAATAGCTCCATGGATATTCCCCCATCAACACTGACTGTTGCAGGAAAGAAAATCGCACCATCTATGGCCGGCTTTATTGTATGCCCAAACATTCTTATAACTTAATTTATCAGACTTTTGCTAATAAACAAGTCTTTAGATTTTCATCTGCAAAAAAATTACATTTATTTTTAATACCTTGTGACATTTGTTGATTTTTACCATTGAAATGAGTTGGTCATAATAAAAAGCACATAGCTTTTTTTATTGACACAAGTTTCTGAAAAACCTCTATCATGACTACTAAAACAAAGTGAAAGTGGTTTGCATCAACACTCAATTTATATTTAACTGCGCAAAAAAGTGCAGCTTTCCTTATAAAAAAAAAAACTGCTTGCTGTGGGGGCAGATATGCAGGCTCACTCTCAAGCCAGGCTGTGTGTGTCAGTAGACACACACAGCCTGGCTCGGCCCTGCCCCCCAATCCCTCCTTAAAGAATTTGAGCCAATGGCTCCCGCTGCTGCCTTTGTGAGTGGAGAGGAACAAGCTCCACTGCAGAAGAGAACATCGCTGGATGGTGATAGGACTCACGGTATAATGGGAGGTGAGGGGGGTGATACACTTACTAGGACATTGTTTGCCTTAATGCAGGGAATGCATTAAGGTAAAAAATGTTCTGCTTTTACAACCTCTTTAACCCTTTTGACACCAGGTCCATGTCTTACTGACCTGATTGGGGGGGATTGTATATAAAAACTGACAGTCAGCCTCCTGCCTGTCAGGTGAAAGCAGTTAGGCAGCTGTGCTGCCACCCATGTGCTTCCACAGCCCCTGGTACCACTCCCCCCGCCTGCACTCCCACCGTGTATCCAGGCCCCACTTGCCCATCTGCGGGCCCCGGGAGCACCATGGCATGTGCCAGCGGGTGGAGAGGAGACTTTGTGTGTGATGAAAAAAAAAACTTAAGTCAAAAAAATTTTTTTTAATTGCAAAAAAATAGTTACACCCAAACATAGCATTCTCCCCCAAAATTGAGACGCACCCACCCCTACATATATGCACGTACGAGCGTAAACGCACACATCAGGGAACCTATGTTGATACGCATGCTACATATCGCTGCGCATTGAAAATATAGGGTACTGAAGTTTGTTGCCAATTCAGAGGCGCACAAAAATATAAGGTTTTGGCATGTTAGATATTTATTTACTCGACACAACCTCGCCTTTTATATTTTACCTAAAATTTGGGTAATTTATTGCATTTGCTTTCCCTAAAATTCACTGTCGGTTGTTTTTTTTACTGAAATTTGCAGTAATGTTGTGTGACATACAAAATTGGAACTACCACTATTTTATTCTGTAGGGTGCCTGCATTCAGAAAAGATATGTTTGGTGTAATCTTCAGGCCCAAAATTATTTTTTTAAACGTGTGCCAAAAATGCAAAAATGGCTCTTGCAGTGAAAGGGTTAAGGATGTTTTTGCTTACGAGTACTTTGTTATGGCAGATGAGAATTTGCCAGTTTGGCGAAATTTTCTTTTCAGGCTATTTTAGGGTATTTCTCTAAATAATAATCCTCTAATGAAAACAAGTTTTAAGTTATTTTCTATAAAATGTACAGTACATTGGAGCCTAGTTTGTGAATTAATATCAACACATTACTAAAGGCAGCGGGTAAGCCAGTTGAACACATTAGAGCACAGAGTTGGCTTAGATTTTGCAATGGAAAGATCTTTAATTGAGTAAGGCACAGATACTGTACAAGTGTATATCACTCCCAGAGAAAGTATTTGCCTTTCCTCATGTCTGTTTATGGAAATACACAATGGATATATGCATTGAAATGTACAGCTGTCCTTAAAACCATTAGTGGATATCTAACACTTCTGGGCTATTGTGGTTTGCTCTGATTAAAAGTAACAAAATATAGCACATACTAGTAACTGACCATTCCAGTCCTAAAATTACTGAAGGTGTTCACTTATGTGTCGGGCTTCACAGCCCAAGCATAGCTTA